GGAAGCGCTGCCAAAATTTTCTTAGTTTAGAGGAGATAGATTATATTTTGATAGGAGATTCAGGCGATCCACCTAGAATAGGAAAGATTTTTGCAGTTGGTCTACCTTGAGCTTAAGCACTGACTTAAAAGTAGACTTAGATTTAGCTAAAAAGGAAGTTTTGAGTGAGGATGTATTATGRAGTTGTATTCTCCATACACTTATGATCTTAGCTTGGGGATTGGTCTGTCGTGTGTTACAGGTCTTTTTGATCATTTGATCCAAGTTCAGGGCTAGATCCAGCTTGATCCGTTAAGGATCACTTACTGTTATCACTGATAACAGGTCGGTTGCCGATTCGTCGGTCTACGACTCAATTTCAATTCTCCCTCTACACTCAACCTAAAAGGCTTTAGCCTTCGTAAGCCTATTTGATTTGCCTACCGTGACACTCAGACCGAGAGCCTGAGGTGCCTCGGCGGCTGCACGACTATTCCTTCTGCTGTGCAATGTCGTGAAGGGCTAGGCCCTCACGACACTTCAAGTCTGACACTTGAGTGTCATAAGCGGTACTCGAATCCACGAGGGACCGCTTGATTATGGGCACTACATAGTACGCCATCGTTGCGACTGATTGTGTACGCCTGCATTGCAAGTCGATATGAATATGCCCTGCGTCCGCGCGGTTTTATACTAAGTTCAGCGCGCGACGCTTATCCGATTTCCGGATTGGAAAGTTATGGGTTGGCTACTGAGGGGCTAGGAGCGTTGTCGCGTTGTTGGTATTGTGTCGTTTCGTATATATGTTGTTTTGTGTGTATGAGTGTTCGTAAAGTGGAGTGCGCGTGGTATGTGGGATGTGTCCTAGTCGACCGACGATGAGTCGCGCTTGGGACCTCAGCCCCCCCAAGATGTCGGTTCACGTGCGGGTCCGATAGAGGCGTATTACCGCGCGTACCCCCTATGCTACAGCGAACGAGAAACGCCCTCGGCTGGTCCACCTCTGCGATTGCAACTGATTAGCTTTCGTACTGTGGACTGGTAGCTCGGTGGGGAAGGGAGGTGACAACTCCCGTAAGGTGTAGGTAAGTCGTGCCTCGCGTAGGCCCTATCCTGTCGTAGGGGCTCGCGAGAGGTATGGCTGGCGCACCCGGCCGGAGCGGCTTGTGGAAGCTCCATGTATATTGCGACGAAGGGTTCTAAACACCAACTCCTGCGTGACGCGGCCGGGAGGGTCCCGCGCTGCCCCCGTGCGGTGCCGGACCGATGCGCCCGACAGTTGGCGCCGTTGCCGGGGATAACGGAAAGCCTACCGTTGTCCCTGGTGGAACGACATCCGGGTATGAGAAGTGAATAAGAAAAGGCATAAAGGAGTGATGAGAAGGTAATGAAGGAATATATGAATGACTAAGTGTAGGTGAGGAAATTTACCTACCCAAGTAGAGGAAGTATGAGGGACGATCGTGTTAACAGTGGGTAAAGTAAGTACTAAGGGTTAGGTAGGACGAATGGAATAGACCGATCAAGGTATAATGTTGAATAAGGGGATGTACCTGTTTTCTTTTGCCAGAGAACTTAAAAAAAAAAGACTGTCAAGATGCCTGAGACTGGTGGCGCATCAGTTGTTCCCAAGAAGGGCCTGACACTCGGTGACCTCATCGCGGTCATCGACCGACATGAAAGGAACCCGAGCAACATCCCAAAGGTCGATACTTTCCATTTCTGTGGGGAGAGAGTCTCAGAATGGCTAGAGCGGGTGGAACAAGCTTTGGTCGGGCGGCCGGATGTTGTAAAGTTTCAACGCATCCTTCAGTATGTCCTCCACAACTACCATCAGGAGGTGAAGAAAGTCATAGATGCGGCTCAAGGTAGCTGGGAGAGGTTCAAGGAGGGGATGCAGAGGAAATACCGCCTGGGAGACGGGTTGTTGACTACCACGGACCTTGAAGCGATGAACAAAGAGGATTTTACGACTATAGGGGCCTTTGTTCAAGAATTTAAGAAGAGGGCGCGGAAGGTCTATAGGATTTCGGAGGAAGCACAATGCGCCATCTTCCTGGGGCTACTCACAGCATCAGAGGCCGTCGAATTGACGAGACATGGAGGAGGTAGCACTAAGCTCACCTGGGCCACCATTGACAGAGGGGTGGAAGTTGGGTGCTTGGACCAGGTAGAACAACGTCAGGTACGCCTGCAAAGACAGAAGAGAAAGGAAAGAGGTGCGACCGCTTCTGGGACCCCGGGAGTAACAAGGATTGTTACAGACGTATTGACACAGCTAGGGTATGCGACAGAGCCAGTGGTGCAAAGAAGGGTGGTGACGGCTGTCAAAGTAAAAGGAAAAGAGCCAGTGATAGAGGAGGATGGCCAGGAGGAGCTCTGGGAAGAGGAAGAGCCGGTGCCGCAACACATGACGAAGGTCCAGCGCAAAGTGCGTAATTTGGCGCAGGGCGGACAGGGATCAGGAAAAGCGCAGGCGCCTCAAACCCAGGCAGCAGCCCCTTTAAATGTGGCGGCTCCATCATCTAGTACGGGCCCCTCGCAAGGCGGGGCGCCCTCCTCTGGACAGTGGCCCTGGCCGGTGATCAACGCAATTGTGCCATGGGGAAGTACGCCTCCAGTAGCCGGACCGCAAACGAGTATGCCACCACCCATCTACCCCGCGGCCCAGGCCCAACCTGTGGCCCCGCCACCGTCACCTGATCCCAGTTCACAGGGCAGTGTTGTAGGGGGTGGGAACCAGGGGCAGGGCAATCAAGGCAGTGGAGGGAGGGGTGGAGGAAAGGGGCGAGGCAGGAATGGCGGCGGAAGAGGAAGGCAATGGAAAGGCCAAGGCCAGGGGTACCAAGGCCAAGGGAGTCAAGGCCAGGGGTACCAAGGCCAAGGGAATCAGGGCCAGGGGTACCAAGGCCAGGGCTATCAAGACAAAGGGTATCAAGGCCAGGGGGATCAGGGTATCAAGGCCAGGGGGATCAGGGAAGTCAGGGGTATGGAAGACCCCGCTTTGACTGGAGGACGGCCATCTGTCAACATTGTGACCTGCAAGGCCACACTATAAGGTTCTGTAATATAAGACGGGAAGACGAGAGAAGCGGGCTGATTTCCTCTACTATGGATGGAGATATCTACGATCAATTTGGGGAGGCCATTGACAGAAGGCTTGGAGGAGTGAGGGCTGAAGCCCAACGAAGAGCGGCAGCGGGACCACCGCCCCCTGCCATGTTCAGGCTATGGCAGGAAAAGGAGGAACCACCGTTTGGGGTGGAAGAAGTGGGAAGTGATGAGGAAGTAA